GGACTTGGGTTTTTTGTAAGGACGTGCGGGTACGTGCGGGACGGATGTGGGGGAAGATAGGGGGAACGAGGTGGTCTGGTCGAGTCGGTACCAACGGGCGAAGGCGACTGCCGACGGTAAGGAACGACGAGAACTGGGGGAGGAAAAGAGAAAAACCGGCAGGCAAGCAGGGGCTGCTCTAGGGAACGAGAAACAGACGAAGGAGGGAACGGACTGTAACAGTAAGAGGGAAAGAGAAGAGAGAGACGGAGGGTTAGGGTGAAGGTAGCGAAGGCGATGCGGGAGGCCGAGAAACGGGTGGGGAGGGGGGAACGGTCGGGGGAGAGGTAGAAAGGGTCTTGCCACGAGGGAGTGAGAGGGTGGTGGCTCGGCTAGAGAGATCTATAGGGGTGCCACGAGGCAAAGGGTAGGGGGATTACTGCCTGAGGCTTCAGAAACCGAGGGTGTCTAATGCCAAAGTGGACTTTGTTCACTCGCCGAGATGTTCTTTGTGTGTGTGTGTGTGTGTGTGCACGTTTATATGCGTGCACGCAGGTATACGCAAAGAAATATATTTTCCTTCGTTCAACTCGTCTAACAGTCACACCGCACACTCTGCATGTTTCATTGCGATCGCATGGATTTTAAGCAAAAATTTAATTTACAAATTACAAAATTGAAGATAATAACAGAAGAAATCATTAAAGTTGCTAATGTTAAGCTGTTAATCAAATATCATCGAGATATAGTATATGTTACCGTTTACTTCTTAAAAGAGAAGAGGACAAACCCATCTTATTGCGTCGCGAAAAGTTTTCGTAATAAATTAAGTTAGTAGACACTTCTCTCGGCTCACGTAGGAACGATATTCTAGAAGACTAACGATATTGACGACAAATACGTTTACAAGAATGATAATGAGGATGATAACGAGAGAGGCAATTATATAGATACCTCTCGCAGGTAGGACACGGATCATCTCTCGCGTCGGATTGAATCGGAAAGATCGAACTTCCGCCAGAAAGTTTTAAGCTTTTTTACGCTCCTTGTGCCCCGAAGTTTCCTACTCTCCGTCGAAGCAAACTGTTGCTTAGATCGTTATCGCGTACTACCATGCGATAGAGGGAGGGGAGGGGGGAGGGAGGAGGGAGGGAGGGAGGGAAGAAGAGACAAACGTTCGTCCCATTGACGTGAGAGAATTAGAAATAATCCCTTTAGGGTCTATTCCGAGAAGGGAAGAGCTCGTGCTTTTTCTTCCTACGCTTTCGACTTTTCAATTGACATGCCAGTGACTTCCTTTGTCGGCGACACAGAGCGAGAGTGTGGGCGTGTCTGCGCATGCATTCATACATCCATCCATTCATTTATTTACCGTGCGCATTCCATACGGCATTGTTGAAAACGTTATTAATCCCAACGAGTTCGCGCTTTATCGCGACTGGAGTTTCCTTCGCTTTCCAGAAGATAGACGGGGCGGGGAGAGGAAAGGGAACAGAGAGAGAGAGAGAGAGAGAGAGAGAAAAAAACGGTTCGTGCAGAAGATGTCGTAAATAAAGTACGGACCGGCCAATAAAAAGATCGCCTTTTTGAAGGAAGTCGAGCGGACAGGTGGAGCCCCGAGGACGTCTGTGCACGGGGTATAACCGTCATAAAGTCGAGAGAAAAAGTATTTTACGACGCTGGCCCGATAACTTGGCCACTTCCCCTAAGACTACAGAGCCTTTTACGAGGTCACTCCTACATCGCAGCCTCTGTTCTTCGGTTTGTCCACGTACGCCCACCGCATGGATAATTCTAGCGATGCGGCTTCGTTGAACTTATAAGGCGATCGCAATTGTCATATTTTTCAAAGCTTTCGCAGTATTTTTTGGATAATTAGCTTACCATAGTAACTTCTTAATTGCACGATGCAGTGCGCAGTCTAATCTTGAAAATTTGAGAAATATTCTCTATCATTATTATAATTGGTGCTTTACGAGAGAAAATCGATTTTGCTGAAGTATCTAGAAATTCGGCTACAATACATATACATTTGAAAAAGTAATGCTATTAGACTATCAAAATAATAGTATGCTGAATGCTCAAGTTGATTGTTAAAATAATTGAAAGTACTTGTACTTTCTGCATGATTATTTTGACAAAAGTATGTAGTTACATTTCAGTAAAATTACCCTCTCTCTTTTCAAATAATTTATTTATAATTTTATTATACCTCGTACTAATTTTTGTTAAAGTAACTACGTGACTCGTGTATTTTTTACCTTAGACAAGCGCAATACTTTTAGAGCAATATTTCGATCGTTTCCAGTATCAAGGTTAACCAACATAGCACTGATTTTACGTCTCAGTACGTATGGACTTTCCATATCTTTGCTCGTACTTGACCCGATGAGACCACCGCATACGATTGGCTGCGGTCGTTTTCAGATTTACGGCAAAGGAAAATTGCGATCTCTCGTCGGTGAATTACCAAAGACTAAGTTTGCACGAATCCTTTTACGTACCATCGTAAGAACGGTATAGGTCGACTTGTCCGCTCACGAATAAAACATATCAAACATACACCTACGATAACGTAACTCGATGTTCGAGAAAATCAACCTTGTTAAATTAATAACGTCAAACTGTATCATTTATTTGAGTTACTTTTTATTTTTATTTCTATATGTCACCACTGCTCTTGTACTTAATAGGTTATTAATTTTTAACTGAAATAATGGAATTAAACAAATTACTCAAGAAATTTATTAAATTTGATTTAAATTTAGTTTATTTACTAATTGCGTACGTGTGTTAATACATATATGGAACGTTGTTTACTGTATACAAAACTGAATTTAACCATCAAAATGGATTAATTTACATTTTAATATGTAGAAATGAAAAATAACAAAATGTTATTTTACTCAAGGGATTGAAATATCATTGCTCCTTTAATACCTAACTTATATTCGTCACTTTTGCGAACCAGATTTTAACGATGCGTTCATCGTGTGGCCCGGATTAAATCGCCAGTTTAAAACGGCAATTATGTAAAGACGATGGCGTGTCCGACAATCGCTGTTCCCTTCGATATTATAATTATTGGACTTGACGCGTTTGACCCAGCTGTAAAGTATTAATCCGAGCTGGCAGCGCGACGATCGGTTAATAACGTAGAAGGCTTAAGGGGGGAGATAAAAATATAAGTAAAAGCGAGAGGAAAAATAAAGATCGACTTCGTGCGACATTTAAATATCCGTTTTGAATGCAACAATATCAATCATATATTAATGATTACTTAAAATCTATGTATAAATAGATGCAGATCAACTTCTCGTAACTCAGTCGAATGACAAGAAATAATCGACGATTTCGCGATCACTTAGGATTACTTAGATTACATATAAAGGGGATGCGCGTTCGAAATATAATTGTAGATTACTGTTATTTACATGTAGATGACACTCGTATTAATCCAGGTGGCAAGACGACAACGATGATAACGAGCTAATAATACAGACGGCTTAACAGAGAGAAACTGCATTTAAAAATGCATTCGCATCAAGAAAGCAAACTATCCAGCTCTTTTGCTCAAGTCGTATGCAGGTAGGCAAGCAGACGAAAAGGACCATTCTCAACGAAGAGGTGCCGGTGTAACTTACGTCTTTCAGGTATCGCGGCAAAGCCGGCGTTACGTATCGCCGGTAGTGGCACACTGGTGTGACAGCATGGTGCAAAGAACGGAGTCCAGCATGAGGAGGAGACGACGAACGATAGAAAGACAGAAAGAGAAAGAAAGAGAGAAAAAGAAAGAGAGAGTGTACGTGCGTGCGTGTGTACGAGAGAAAGAGAGAGACATACAGAGAGTGAGCATAGATACAGATAGCGAGCGACACACTCGAATAGACGAAGGCCGGCCAAAGAGACGTAGGGTGGGAGGGCGGGAGGGAGGTAGAGAAAGGGGGAGAGATAGAGACTGTAGATATTGTACGTCCACGTAGCAGCGCCGTACACGTACGATGAAGGAGCAAAGCGGTGAGCAAAGCACATACCCTTCTAAGCACAAGCCTAACACACACCCGTGGAAGCCCCTTCGGCCGATGAGCGCTAGCGCCCCTTGGCCCCTCGTTCTACGCTGTACTACTACCCTCCCGCCCGCCGCCCTGCTCTCACCGTCCGGAAAGGTCCCTGCCGCCCGTTCCCTCGTCCCCGCCCTTCCCCGCGCCGCCGGATGCCCGACAGCGGCCCCTTACGCCCCTTTGAATCCTCTCGCCCCCTCTCCCGCTTTCCCCCCCGAGTTACTCGTCCAGCGGCCCCCTCGATGTTCTGACGGTGACAGACCCTACCTTACCGCCGCCGCCGCCGCCGCCACCGCACCGAACCGAACCGAGTGGGGAGGGTCGAGGGTCGAGGGGGAGCCGACGAGGGCGCCGGGACAAGAGAAGCAGAAACGAGAGGGAACGGAAGAGAGACGGAGATAGAGAGAGAGAGGGAGAGAGCGCGAGAGAGATGGTCACGGTGAGAGGAAGGGAGGACGAGGAACTGAGGGGGGTTGACGCGCTCGAAGAGGGCCGCTGGGGAGTGAGAGAGCGGTGCGGGTCGTCGGAGGACTGGGTAGATGAGGGGTATAGCGCGGGAGAACCGACGGAAGGTAGGGGCGGCGGAGCGGGGGAGAGAGGGGGGGGGAGGAAGGAGGCTCTCTACCGTGGAGCTGGGGGGTGAGGACACACCGGGGAGGGGAGCATGTGGAGGCGGCAGCGCTGCGGTGAGAGGAGGGGAGGAGGTCGTCGTCGTCGCGTCGCCAGTTGCTAGTTTGCCGTGAGCGCTCGTTACGCGAGGACGTTCTGTGAATAGAGCAGCTGAGCACGGAGCTCTCTTCTATCTCTCGCCGTAAACGACACACAGGAAACGAGCGTGCAGACCAGGCGAACGATCGTGTGCGAGCAGGTAGTTTTTCCTAACGAACGATTCCTCGGGAAAGAGAGCAGTGGCTATCAGTGCGCAAGCCTTCGAGGTCGCTTCTTTTTCTCGACTGATAGACTCAACGACGTATTAACTTTTGAAAAACGTGAACTGTGCAACCTCGTTGCATCTCCCGATTGACGGAGAAATCAGTGTAAGACGAGTTCGGTATGCTCCAGAGATCAGACGAACGGACCAGCTGATCGCGAAACCGTTTTACCGGTCTGATGTACTTTTGCGGAGTTTCGCTTTGTGCGCGTCCGTCGTGACGTGAATACGAAAGAGGAAGAGAGACAGCGATAGTAGAGACAGCTGAGAAGAGACGCACGTGAGGAAGCGTAAAAGAAAAAAAAGAGGGAGAAAAAACACGGGATAATTTAAAGAGAAAGAATAACTTTTTTTTCGCGCTTTGAGACACACGAGGGTCATACTCTCTCGGTCATTTCGGTTGTGTGCGCGGCGCCCGTTTTAATCTCGCGCGGCGCCGACACCTGCTACTGCAACAACCAACTGCGCGGGCGGTTTTGTCGCGGAACTTTCGTGGCGCCGCTGTGTACCGTGCGGTGTGCGCGGGGTGACAGCTTAAAGTTCACGAGCGCAAGGTGGGACGCGGAGTGCGCGGGCGCGCGCGCGTGCGAACATAAAGGAAGACAGAGAGAGGGACAGAAAACGAAACACGAAACTCACTCTCCGAGAAAGTTTACTCGCGACGTGCCGGTCGCTCCGGAAAGAACACCTCATTCCCTACGCGCCCGCTCCGCGTGCCGGAGGAAACCGTCAAGCGGAAGCGAAGAAAGAAGACAGAAGAGGAAATAAAGAGGGGAACGAGAGAGAGAGAGAGAGAGAGAGAGAGAGAGAGAGAGAGAGCACTCGTCACCGTGTGCGCTCGTTTATCGTCGTTGTCAACCCCCGCGCCTCTTTACCGCCTTTGTATTCCCTCGTGATCGTCGCTGTGCCTTCGGGTGGACGCTTATGGCTCACCAGTAGGAGGGAAAAACAGACGGAAGAGCGAAGGACAGAGAGACAGGAGGAGAGGCGACAGGAGGACAGAGGCGGACAGTCGGATAGAGACCGGCGAGGCAGATATTTCCCGCTTCGCGAAGGGGGGGCAGAGAGGGCACCCCGGAGAACTGAATATGTCCGCCAAGCGAAAGGCCACTGCCATCATGCAGCACCACAAGGTGAGTCCGTATATTCGTGCTGCACACATGCACGACACGTGTATTGCACATTACACACGTTTGTATCCGCGCCACGTGATGTATATCAGTATACTCGTTCCCGATTGTGTCGCACCGTTTCGTTGCACCAACGGAACGTTGGCGGCAGTTCGCTTAGTTCGAGGAATTTCGCTCCGAAAAATATTTTCCGAGATTATCAAGGGAAAAAAAATTCTTGTACCCTTCGACGAAACGATAAATCAGCAGGTCAAATATTGAAATCCTTTTCGGAGAATCGAGAGAGAGAAAATGCATTAGAAGGATACACTTAGCAGGCAGAGATTAAGGTTTTAACCTTGACGACACACTAATTTATTTTATGGACGCATTAACCCTCCCTCTCCCTTGGTTGAACGTGACGATGAATTTTTTTTCCAGCAAAAGCTCGGAAAGCACGTCGGAACACGGCGCGCTCCGTTACGTAACTCGTTACTGCGCGCGCGGAACCTAATTTTTTTTTCGGTGCGCGGAAAGATAAACTGCGAAAAAGTTTTAATTGAAAGAGTTGTGTAAATCCCGTGCGGCGGCGGCGGCGGCGGCGGCGGCGGCGCCGACGACGACACGATGAGGTGAAGTGCGCTGAGTTCGAAAAATTGTTCTCGTGCCGTTCGTGCTTCGCGCACAGCTCGACATTACGCGCGCCAAATTACTCGCAATCCCTATCGCGACGTTGGTTACTTCTCCTTGACTTTCGTACCAGCTCGCTGGCCTAATTATATTTTGCGGAACGATATACAAATGAGTGTAAACGCCCTGAAGGAAGATGAAATAATTGTGTCAAACTTTACAAATGACTTTTTCAACACTACGAAATCATTTTCATTCAGTTAATATTTTACAAAATCATTTGCAATGTTTTACAAAATGATTTTGTTGTTTTCCTCGAGTTCCCGCTCGTGTCTCGTTAAACGATTGTGTAATACATTTCGAAAACAACACATTTCAATTGTCAAAATGTAATTCTTAACGTTCAATGCGATAATGTTACGGTCATCGATCTGTTGTGTTTGTTTTCGCTCTATTATTAATTTAATAACTAACTGAAAATATCAAGTTCGGAGACCTTTCCCGTGGATCCGTCAAGAAATCTGTTATTTGTTAATTAAAATCAGACACGCCGCCGGCTGTTACATTGCGTAACGTTAATTAATAGAAACAAATAAAGATTGCGTAACGTGAAAATTATTAGAACGTGAAATAATGAGAATTCTTCTAGCTTGCAAAATCTGAAATTTTGGTCTATTCGCTTCCGCTACTTCTGAAATGGTGACGGTTATGTACGTGTCGATAATGCCGTCGCACGTTGACACACGCGTGGAGAGGTCAGTGAGCGTCTCTTTAAGTTCGCGCTAGTGTATCGTAAGTAAATAACTTCCACTTGTTCGGGCGAATATCGACGGACGATCATCCATGAACCTCGATGACACACACGTCCGGCGCGAATCGCGCAATTCGCTCGTCAATGACGAACTCGGTCGGATCGTACTTATCTCGCGATTTTTTTTCTCTCTCTCGTCGCTCGCAACAACCGCGCCAGATTAGACCGACGTATCTACGTGAAAGATAATCCCCGGACGGCATATTCGCGCGCAGAGGCGTACTCGATTCGAACACGTGCTCTCCTGTACGCGTCGTTGTCTTTAATTAACAGCTGGATGCATCATTCGATCTTTACCTTACCGAGAAATTCGTAAGAATTAAACATTATTTACGCGACTTCTTTCCAAGTAAAGTACAGTACGATTTCACGAGTACGTATAAAAATTTTTTAAATAATCAATAATTTTTTGTGCCACGAAATTTATCGCACGTAAACTATTTTACATAGTACGATACATTTTAACAGAATTAGCGATAAGATCGAGAGAGGAGGATAACGTTTACTTTCCTTATATCAATTTTATGCAAGGAAGAGAAGACCGCGCGGCGGTTAAATAAAATTTGAAAAAAAATACGGAGTAAAGCTGGCAATAATACAAAAGTATTGAAGTGTTAAAAAATCCGGAATACGCGTGTCATCATTCCTCGCCGTTAATCTTCGTTCGTATCGCGAGCGTGATTAAAAACTGGCGCGTTTATCGGCTGATAAAGGTAAAATCGGCGCAAAAAGGGACTAGAGCGTTCGTCACTGAAACGCATTACAACGGCAGTGCGCCTCTTAACAATTTTTCGAATATCCGTCTATGCGATTTTCAGAGTGATAATACATATAACAGTCGTCGAAACGCGGTTCCACGAGAAGCGAGTCCGATAAAAATGCGAATGCGTATCGAATATGTCTCGTTAATTTATCGATCGACGTGTTCGGCGCAGTGTAAATTGCTCCCGATGACATCGCCCGAATTATATTCCCTTTCACGTCGCTACTCGTGCCTCTGTTTCCATTTTCATCGCGTATTTATGTTAAATGCGTACTGTCCAATTTTCACCTCGTATTTACGCCAAATGCCACTTTCAAGTTTCGAAACGCAATGAGAGAAGCTTTAAGCTTAAGATAATATTGCGGCCAATCACAGTCGAATGTAAGAAGAACGATCGACTATGATCGCGGTTGATTTCTTATACAGCTTAAAGCTTACTACACTTATTGTGTTTTTAAAGCTGCGTGGGGAAGCCATTCTTCTGTAAAGCCGCGTGAATCGACATTGATAATATTTTAATCGATGAGCGGAGCTCGTTAAAAGTGGAACGTCGGATGAAGCGTTTTGTGTTAATAATTTTACTTCCTGAAAGTCTCTTGCCTGAGATAGAATTCTCGTACTATTAAATGCCAAACAGGTCCAACAGGTTGCATTCTTCGTATTACATTAATAATAATAATAATATTTCATAGACCAGAGTTAGAAGAAAATGTAAGAGTTCAGAGATATTTAAGCGCACAGGATACGGAACAGGTATTGAGAATGAACTCCATGCATTCCTACAACGTCGAAGAAAGGATGAGTACAGGAAAAATGTGCGTGACAAATTGCGACCTTCGAAATTTCGAGAAACACCGATTGTCCTCGCTTCCAGCAGCGCGTTTGTTGTCTCGTTCAATCTCGACGGTAAATTATGGGAAGAGAAGGAGGAGCCGAGGAGCCTGGCGCGTGCAGAAAAATAGTACACACTAACGGTATTATGCTGGGGAACGAAAGAGCAAAGTGTAAATACTAACTGTGTGCTACCACCGACGAGCTCTAGATCGATCGGATCAGGAATCGAACCGCGAAAGTCGAGCCGAAGTTGAGGCAGGTTCGGGACGCCTGCACACGCGTCCTTCTTTGCTTATCTCTCCCTCTCTCTCTCTCTCTCTCTCTCTCTCTCTCTCTCTCTCTCTCTCTCTCTCTCTCT